GGTCTGGAGGCACCGGGCGCTTAGGGAAGGCCCCTCCTCCCGCCCCCTAGGAAGCCCAGGAGGCCAAGGGCGGAGGCGCCAAGGTTTTGCTGTCTGATATAACCCCAACTGACAGTCCTGTCAGTTGCTCTGATCTCCCTCATAGCTCAGTGTCCCTTAACATCTCCTAAGATGAAGCTTACAGGGGTCTGGGTGTCTCCCCTCAGAGCCCGGCGCTCCAGCGTCCGGGGTGCACAGAGTGCCTCAGCCAGGAGGAACCCCGAACGCTCGGCCCCACCAAAGCGCCCAGCCAACACCGAGATGAGCTTAGGCTGGGAAGGGCCACCAGGTGGGTCCGACTGGGGAAGGCTTCAGGAGGCGGTGGACAGAAAACTGAAACCAGGGTTCCACATTGCGCCTGACGGTGGGGACTCGGAAGGGAGCGCCAGGAAACTGGGGTGCGCTGTAGCGGGGAGGCGCTTGTGCGCCGCGCCTGGCGACTAAGACTTCTTTCTAGCCGGCAGAGAGCAGGGGACCCAGCGTAAATCCCGGGACCTTACGCCACCGACCTAGATCCGACCGTTTCTGCCTAGCACAGCTCGTCTGCTTCCTTCCCAGTCGGGCTGTGTCCGGCTGCCTGCCCTCCTTAGGCCTGGCCCCCGTCTGGGCCCCGAAGGGCCTGCCCCAGCCCAGCATCCCGCGCCCCGGGTCCGCAGAGCCTCCGCCGAGGTGTGCGGCAGGGACTCGCCCTAACAAACAGCCCAAATCCTGCTCGTCACGCCGCTGACAGGGGCCTATTACTGACTTTGAAGTCAGGCGCAGACAAAAAGAAATCCCCTGGGGTGTGTGGAGGGGTTAGGGGGGAGCAGTCCCTGTCAAACCTGTTTGCTCACAACTGTCTCTTTCTTTCAAGAAAATCATTAAAGCAAACCTGTAGGGAGAGGAGCGCCCCGCCCGCCCGGAGTCAGGAAAGCGGATTCTCCCAAGCGCGCGTCGCGCAGCCAAGAGCAGCCAAGAGTCCCCTTCGACAGACTTGGCAATGTTCGGGAGATGGCGAACCCCGCAACGCGCGGGGCGCGGGGGACCCTGCAGGAGGACATTCTGTCCATCCCTCTGAGCTTTGCGCTAGTCCCACAGCCCGGAGGCCCGGGACTCCAGCCCGAAGCCTGGGCCGGGCTCAGCAGTGGAGCCGGGGAAGGCCCAGGCCTCTCGCCTGAGGGTACGATTGTTTCCAGGGGACAAAAAATTTTGACCCAAATACGTGCCGCCCTCGTTTCCGCCTCTCCTCTCCTGGGTGCTTCCCAGGACCGCAGAGACCTGGCCAACACCGTGCTCCGGACGGCAGCCCGCGGCGCTGCGGCGGCAGGGGCAGAATTGTTTAGGTTTTAGTTAGGTTTTCGTTCTTAACCTTGGCGACCATTGGCTCAGAGGCACAGCGGCCACATCCAGGAGAGGCGATCGTTGGCCCCCTTCCACTCCTGTCCTTTAGTGGAGAGCCTCTCTGTAGCCTTTCATGCTCTTCCTCGGCTTTGGATCCGACTCCAAAAACTTTTTATTCCCTTCCAGTTTCTGAGTTTTCCCATTTAAATATAAATTTCCTTAGAACCTCTAACTTTACAGTTTGGAAAGCCCAGTTACTTAGAGTAAATCATACTGAGGTGCGAGTGACTGACATCTGAGACACCCCCCCCAAACATTTGCATTTTAAAATAGAATCTAGATAATCTTCACAAATCTCTAGTCATCTAAAGCAGGGTGATATTTCAGTCAGGGTAGGGGGCTTTCATTACATCGTACTATCTAAGGAAGTGTCTCCCGCGCGGGCAGCTTCTCCGGAGAGATCCGAGACTGCCAGGGTCCGAAAAACTTGGCGAACGATGGTGCCAGGACTGCCCTGGAGGAATCTCATTTCTTGAGGTTCCTCCCCGACTCGGGCCTGTTCAACCGGACAATGAATTTCAAGTCGTTTGAATATCACGTAATTCACAAGATTCGTGTTAAGAACTCTTATCTCCTTTATTGGCTGAGTGTATTTCTGCGTGTGTATGAGTGTAAGAGAGGAAGAAAGACAGAGGGGGCCCATAGATTTGGGTGCAGGAGATGCCTGGGTAGGTGGTTCCCGCCTCCGCTGACAGGCGCGCCCTTTGGGCCTTGGAGACCCTCCCAGAATCAGCTGTAGGAGTACTACCTGGGCTCGTTTCTTTCTTGGCGCTATGGGGATAGGGGGTGTCCTGGAACTGAACGCGTTGGCACTGGGCCGCTGCAAAGCAATTAAGAAAATAATGAAGGTTGGGGGCGCATGGTGGCCACTAGAACTACAGAATCGAGGTCGTCCCACCCCGGCTGTGCGCTCCCGGGGCCTGCGCGACCTGTAGTGTCCGCCCTGGCACTGGGAAAGGGACTGAAGGCGAAAAGAGGGAGCCTCGACACCCCCTCCTCGCCCAGCCCCCAGCCCTGCGTCCAGCTGAGCCGTCACCCGCTGAATCCTGGCCAGACCCTGGGGCCAGGTTGTGGGAGTCGTTCTCTCAGGAAGCAGGAAGGGCCACGGGATGGGGACGTTCTTGGGCTGCCTTCCCAGATGCTCGGTCCTCTCCCCTTGAATCCCTGTGCTGGGTATCTCGGTCGACCCCCAAAAGGCCCAGAAAGTTTAGTTGGAGCTGGGGAAAGGAGCGGGTGCTCAGGCCCGACACAGACCTAAAGGATTCCCCAAATTTTCTCCTTCCCGCAGAGAGGAGGAGTTATGCCACTCTGGCGGCCAGTGGCCATTTCCAAAGTTTTTAATTCTTGGGTCGGAAAGAGAAGCAGTTCATACGAGATCTGTGACTTCGGGACAGGGATGAAAGGGACTTCAGAAAAACTTTGCCAGCCGGCCGGGTCTCACTCGGCCAAGAGCTGGAAGGAGACGGAAAACCAGACCCGACGGACGCGTGCTTGGCGGCCCGCGGTACTAGGACGCGGGGACCGCCTTCAGCCACCAGGCCACTGCGCCGCCTGCAGCTCCCTGCTCGAGAGCTCAACCTCTCCCGTGTGCCTCTGGGCTGGGCGGTAACTCTGAGCCCCCAGGCTCTGCGGGCGCTAGAGCGGCGACGAGAATGAGGAAAAGCTGGGTGTGAGGCGCTGGGTTCTGCTGGAGAGGTCGGCGCAGAGCACCCGCTTAGCTGGTAAAGGACCGAGGGCCGGGAGTTCCGAGAGCCGCTGAGCGGCTCCCAGCTTCCTGTAGCAGGGCCAAGTCTCGGTGGGCTCTCCTGATGCCCCGCCCGGGGACCGAGGGAGGAGGGGGTTGGGAGGGAGGGAGAGAGCGGCCCAGGCGCACGTCGCCGGTCCCTGTTCGCCCGGCACCCCCCGTGGCGCGGCGAGTCAATGGGATTTGCACACTCGAGGTGTAACAGCATTACTGCATTAATTACCATTTCCATTTCACGTCC